AACTTTCACTTCATCAAAAGTTAATGAGATAATCATAAATCATCAATCATTGTTGCTTTAAGGCAGCAGCCAGGCCGCTGTTACCACAATCTCACTCTTATCTTACATCAGTCCGTCTTCTTATTTATTGAATTTGTTACACGGTTTACCATCACACAACACTTTGACTGATTGTTTTCCCCTCAAATTGAGACAAAACAAAAATTACAAATGAGGGTGATAATGGAAGGATGTCTCCGCTTTCGTCTGCGTGAGTGTGTCGTCTATGGTGTTAGTTTGCACAAGTGGTTGTCTCCTGTTTCGGAGAACCACGTGACGACGACTGCCACAGAAGAAACAGTAGCACAGTAGTTGAAAAAAAGAGAAAATACTTAGAAATCTGAGGTGTCAGTCACTCGACGTCTGCCCAACAAGTTCACTGTGGTTCACTGTGTCAAATTCAGTCAGTTACGTATCGTGTTAGCTTCATTGTCTCTTCTGTTTCTCAGGTTTGTTTAACACAAGTATTTTGCTGCTCTCCAACTTACAGAATTATATGTGTCAAATTAATAATGTCATAACATATATCTTAATGTAGGACAAATGTCAATGTTTAGCTAACCTTATCCCACAACTAATTTAATATTTATTTGAAATTTCAGGTTCACTCAGCTAATTTTCAGTAATGTTCTTTATACATTTTACCTTCACTCTGATCTGATCTGACGTTGGTGTCCTATACAAGAAATAAAAGACAATTCTGCACAAAATGTGATGAATCACTTGAAGTTTAAAAACAAATTTATATATTTAGAAATTGTCTGTAATTTCTGACCTGTTGTACTTATGTATATTTTGTATGGTTTTACTGTGGTCTGTGCCACTGTATTTCACACACTGTGATTCTTAATGAACACTACACTGCACATTTCCCCACACTAACTTTTCTTTAAATATTCACATTAATAGAAGTCGTAACAGAGCCATCAGAGCCGCACAGCCAATGGCCCAGTAAAATTAACAGCGTATTTTATGGCCTCCATCATTGTCACTTATCCTGGTGCTCCATGGGAAGTATCAGCTTATCATGATTTAGTGCTGCAGTCGAACTTGATGGGCTGTTACCATCTGACCTTGTGCACTGACCGGTGAACTTTCAGCTCAGCCCTTAATTTGCTGTTTTACATGTCTCTACACAGACCGTCTTTAAAGTTAACAGCCAGCTGAAGTGCTTTATACGCCCAATAAAAGTGTGCAGTCTCTCCTGGGCGTGTTGAAAGGTGACCTGATGAGTCACGGTTACAGCTGTGTATTTAGCCTCCAACCAGGACAGTCAAAGTCATTCCACTCTGAGGGTCTGATGTGAAACATGAAGACATCATGGGGGCTACAGTCTTTTCACTGATTTGGTGTGACTAGTTAATCCTTAGCTGTTTCTATGATAGATCTTTCTTTGTGCATTCCCCAAAATACCCAGCTGTAACCTACATGATAAAAAAAAATCAACCCAAAAACAATTCAAACCCTGTTGTGTCCACAGCCTTGGTCTACATGTGATGTGTGACCATTTTTGAACTGGACATCCTTCCTGACTAAACCTCACAGTGGTCTGGAGTTGGGGCTTCAGTAGATTCAAACCCCAAACTTTCTATAAGGCAAACTAGAAGTTATCCTACTCACTATGGGCGCCTCCTACTGTTTATCCCAGAAAAATACATAAAATAAGTATTTACAAAAATATTTGACCAATCAGATTATAGCATTACTGTTAAATAATTAATTAATTTGTAAAGATCAATTAAATAGATTGGATTTTTAATGCATTTTAACCATGGCAAAAATGACATAATTAATTAGGATTAATCCACATCTTATCTGTAATTAATCTGATTGAATCTTTCAACTGATGTCCGATTTATTGCACGTTTAAAAAAAAACACAAATAAAGACAAAAACAACAAATTACATTAATTAGGATTAATCCACAACTTATCTGTGATTAATCTGATTGACTCTTTCAACTGATGTCCGATTTATTTTTTACATATTGCACGTTTAAAATAAAACCACAAATAAAGACAAAAACAACAAATTATATTATGTCATACTCAATAATAAACACTATGTTGAGAGATAATTATTATCACTACCCATCAGAGGTCAAAGGTCAGAGGATGTGGTACTGCCATTCAAACAGTACAGACGGTTGGGGCAAAATTGTTTTGTAAACTTGGGCTGTTTGAATACACTTGAACTGGACGGAGGTGAAGTGAAAATCCCCGTCTCTAGCCCACACTGAACTGAAACTCTGATTATAGGAGGGAGATTGGTGTGGTGGAGCCGGGCGCAGGGCTGGGCCGAGGTGGAGTGTGGAAGAGTAAACAGATGCCAAGACAAATAAAAGAAAACGGCACAACCCCTGCCAGTCTGCACGACACACACACACACACACACACACACACTCACACACACACACTCACACACACACACTCACACACACACACACACTCACACACACACACTCACACACACACACTCACACACACACACACACTCACACACACACACACACTCACACACACACACTCACACACACACACACACTCACACACACACACACACTCACACACACACACTCACACACACACACTCACACACACACACACACTCACACACACACACTCACACACACACACTCACACACACACACTCACACACACACACACACTCACACACACACACACACTCACACACACACACTCACACACACACACACACTCACACACACACACTCACACACACACACACACTCACACACACACACACACTCACACACACACACACACTCACACACACACACACACTCACACACACACACACACTCACACACACACACTCACACACACACACTCACACACACACACACCCACACACACACACACACACAGATCAGAGTAGACACAGTGTGCGCACGCACACACATACACGGCAGGGCTGTAGACTCAGGTGATCCTGCTCACTCTCTGTTCGCTAAACCTGGGAATTAAAAACTAATTCTCTTGAATCAATAAAATCCCTGTGGCCTTTTCACCCTGTAACAGAAGGAGTCGTGACGCAGCAGATGAACACACACACAAACAAACAAGACAAAATCTTAGCTCTTACAACACAGCATTAATCCTGAGCCTTCTGCACACACACAAACACACACAAAGGGCGGGGCCGGGCTGTTCGGCCAAAGGTTATGTAGCTGAAAGAACATCCAAGAGCTCACCGGAGATTAGTCGGTGTGACAGTGTTTACAGGCGTCTGCGGGTGTGGCCACAGGCCCACGTCTTTACCTGTCGTAGCAGGACAGGTGGAGGGCAGCTCCAGCTCCTGGATGCCATGAGGGAACCTGACACCTTCTGTTGTTGCTTCATGGAAATCTCCATTCAGTGCTGTGACTGGTTCCACTGAAACTGAGTGACCAGTGAAAAAGCTGACTGACCAGAAAACTGGTTTCAGCCTGGCTGTCTTATCGTAGCCAACATTTGACAAATTAACACATTTTTTTGAGTTGACATTTGGTTATCCTACACCCAATAAAACATAATAAAACGTTATTAAAGGATAAGTTATTAACAATAAATGCAACAACAAGCCAGCAACCAGATCTTATCTTCCCATCCAACTCTTGTAAACTCACTTAAGTCACTGAAACAAAAATCTCCTGGGAGGGTGAGGTCAAAAACCATGAACCTCCGACATGGCAGCCAAAGCAAAAGGCAGGGACTGGAAGAAAAGGGTGTGTGTGGGTGTGTGTGTGTGTGTGTGTGTCTCTGTGTGTGTCTCTCAAACCACCATATGATGCTGAGCTACACTGAACTGATAAGAACTGGTGATGTCACCTTGCAGCCTTCTCCAGTCGTTAACCACCAGGGCGTTGCAACACTGACCATAACATCCAGTCCTTTTTAAAGAACTTATGTGTCACCCGATGGTTTATGTTATAATAACTGACGTCATTGGCTTGTAAAAATAATTTAGCAAAAAACAGGCTGTTTTTAGTCATGTCAATGGTTTTCTTTGAAAGCAAAACAACTTTGCTAATTTGAATTTGTCAGTGTTTGTCAGGCTAATGTGTTAGCTAAAGGCTACGTTTAACAACATTATCTGATTTTTTTTTTCTGTTTTAAATATTTTTTATTAATATATTTAATTAGGTTTACAGAAGTGCTGGCTAACTCCTGGCTTCCGTGGAGGGCTGTCAATCAGTACAAAACTGGTTAACTGTGGATTACTTGATTAATCAAAACTGTGAACGGCTTGTACGTGTCGAGAGTACGTGTTTTCTAAACTTCTGAAAAGCGGTTGTCCTCGACAACATAAATGAGTACACGGTCTCCTAACAATACATATGACAATTGTATCAGTAATCGTTCACTTACTCACTACGCTGCCCTCCGAGACGCTGGCGTAAGTCTGACCGGAAGTTGAAACATTCTCCGTATGAGATGGTGTTCACGGTTCCCCGTACCTGCAAATAACGTGCGCTGAACGTGTGTGATAGTCACGTTAAGTGAATGGACGGTGGAATTATTATTACATACACTGCCCATGCGTTCAGTTTTATTATATTAATCCCCACAAATGAACTGACATGATAAGAATCAATTTAGCTTTTAAATATATATGTATTTATATGTAGGTTCATTCTTATTATTGGTTTAGCAAATGTGAAACATTGTTTGCCACATGGCTTAATATTTATCACGTGAGCTAACCTTTAGATACTAATCTTTAAACACCTGTGATTCTGTGAAGGGATGAGAAGAACATATGGCAGGTATTCCACTGTAATTAAAGTATGAAAAATAATAATAATAACTCCATCTGATTATTTTAGAAATTTATGACGACCAGGAAATTGGCATTTTTTGACTGACTAGAGGGTTTATTAAGGATTCAATAATGTCGGGAGAAAAGACTTTGCTGGCAGCTTTTTGTAACCGTTTCCTCCTGTTGTTTTGACTTAGACCGTGAAAAAATGCAGTTCTATATAAAAACAATAGATTAAAAAAAACAGGATGAAAAGAAAGAAAGAAAAACAATCATAAGTATTGCCGGGGCTACATGTGCAAATTCATGAATGTCTGCATCACATATGTGAAACGACCTGGTGACACCTCCCCCACTTGTAAGTCACTTTGGATAAAAGGTTCTGCTAAGTGTATGAATGTATGGTTATGAAATGTTCTTCTGCATTTTTCTTTTGTTGCTGGTCAGCTGCTGGTGTTTCTGTTGTGTATATGCTTCAAGGAGATGCAGTTCAGACATGTCCCAACATGTTCTCTCTGCAACACCTAGAAGTTCTTAGAAACAAACACACGTCTATGTCTTAAATACTGTGTACGGTATATTCCCATATGCCCGAAGCCTTCAAACTGAACAGCATGTTTCGACAGGAGGTCGTTCAGTCTGCGGCACTAACTTCCATAGGTCTGACACGTGAGAGCATACAGTTTCATGTAGAAAAAAAACCCAGGTGTGCTGAAAGAATACTTGTATGTATTTGGAAGTACATAACAACCAGAGTGGTAATCAATAAAAACAAAACCATGTGCAACAATAGTAGGAGAAAATGACTTTACAGTGTAAATCAGTGAAGTGCACAGACACACAGTGACACTCGTGTTGAATGTATGTGTTGGATACAGTATATGATTTAAAGCTGACAGACCGTCTCACAGCAGAGGTCTGCTCACTAACATTTATACACATGTTCACTTTAAAGCTCTGGTCTTTGCTGCAGTGGAAAACACTTCTGCTGAAACTTTCCCTCCCCACAGCGGTGAATCAAAAGTGGACGAAAAATGGTTCGGATTTACAGTGAAACTCATCCTCACAGATACTGTGGCTAGATTAAAATTTAAAAACACATAATCCAAAGACAAAAGTGTAGAGATACAAAAAAAAAACAACAACAAAAAAATCAGCTCCGACAGGAATTTACTTAACTTGCAGTCAAACTTTGTTAACAGAAAAAACAGTTTGTCGTGAAGTTCCTTACTTCACTCGTCCCTTCATCTCATCTCACTTTCCCGTCACTCTCCCGTCTTCTGTACGTCCTACCAGCAGAACATGAGGATGATAAATACCATGTGTTTTTTTTGAAGATATGTTCAGTCTTTGGAGTTTTGGGTTTTGTTCCACGTAGCACAGTTCTATAAAACATAACATCTCAGAAACATAAAACACACACACACACACACACAGAAACAAGTCAAATACAGGTGCTTTGTTTTCACAGCACTGGTCCAGAAACACAGAGCTATCTTTGGGTTTACTGTTCATTGTTAGAGCTGAGACACAGGGCATTCATGGAATTTTAGGATCATACTCAGGGGTGTCATTTTTGGTTTCTCTTCTCATGACTTCATCCACATTTTTGGTTGAATTTCCACTTATCTTCACTATTCTTATCTCCAACTTCCTCTGTCCTTCCTCCTTTTACATTCTGTGGGCGTGAATAGGACAAGGGTGGAGGTGAAAGGTCCTGGCGATGACTCCTCTCACTCAACTTCCTGTTTGGAAAAGTATCATTTGTACTTAAGGACACCCTGGTGAGGCTGTGGGTTACTGGGGGGTGTCCACACTGTTGTTTGTCTTTGTCTCTGCTGAGGCCGTTTGTCTGTTGGTAAGTGTAGGGAGTGTGTGTTCATCCAGGGTGCTGTTTAGGCCGAGCATGGTGAGAAGGTCCTGGAGACGTGTCACTGTGCTGACCAGATGATGTTTCTCCTCCTCCAGGGATGACACTTGCTCTTTCAGATGACCCTCTGACTGGACCAGAGCCTCCAGTTGAGTCTCCAGACTGTGCACACGAGCATGGGACACCTGGGGAAAAGAAGAGGGGGGTGATTAAAGTTGAGAGAGGAGGAACAACAGAGGATGGAGCTGGTGATCCATGTGTGTGTGTGTGTGTGGCTGTACCTGAAGTTCCTCGAGAAGGTCCAGGTTCTGCTGCCGCAGGCTCTGGTTGGTCCGCTCAAGCTGGGCTGCCCGCTGCTGTTGGTTGAGACTGGGGGGTGTGTCCAGCAGTTCATCTTGCAGGACGTGGTACTCCACCTCATAAGCCTGGAGCTGCTTGGACACATCAATCTCACAGACCTGAAAGAAAAAGGATTTATTAGTTTGGTCAAAGGAGATTGATACATCCATCCATCAACCTGTTGAACAACTGCCATATCAAAATAACATCTAGATCATTTTTTTCCTAAGCCTTTTTGAGCCATGGCACATATTTCACATCACAAACCCCATGGGCATCAGCCTACAAAAATGTTTTTGTACTCAATGTAAAACCTGGGCTTGTTAGTTGAACACAACGCTGATACATTAGCAGGAAGAAAGACACAAACAAACCTGAAACTATTAAAAGATTCAGGCCCTATGTATAAGTGATAAGTTTTACATTGAAAGTGTTGTTAAAGAAATAAGTGAAAGGCTTCAGTGATAAATATGTCTTTAGGAATTCATTTTCAGATTGATTTAAGGGTGCCTATTTATTTTAAATTACTTAATACTATAATCACATACTTTTCATACTATGAAACTAAAATGTGGTTTTGGTTTCTGTTGATGATGGAAATGCTACCCAGAAAATGTCTCTCTTACAAGCTGTTGTTGTTCACCTATGTGTCCCATACGTCCACAACAGTAAAGACAAACATGAGAGGGAGGTGTACTGTATACAAGACTCCACACATCCTGTACACTCCCTGTTTGTCTGTGGTGAAACTGTGAGTCACACCTCAGCTAACATATAGAGTTTATGATATGAAGTGGTACAGCAGCGAAAGCAGCAGCAAGCTCCAGCATGATCCTGAGACTAATACGTGAAAATTACAAGGTAAATGCATACTTCCTAAGCTGTAGTGTACCTGAACAACATCTCCATACATGTGCCTGACACATCAGACCTCTGCCAACCCCTACCTTCCACAGAACTCTCTTATCGCTCCTATTATGTTGATCTTGACATCAGTTTACAGGAATTTCAATGATAAGGGACAGAATGACCTACATCAGCAGTTTTTATTATCATGCCACTAGAATGGTGAGCCTGGTGTCAGTGACGTTCATTTGTTTTCCTGTTTTTCCCCCTCGCAGACATTGACTCAAGGGCTGAAGGTCAAATGACTTCACTGATAATCCACCCATCAGCTGTTGAAGGCGAAGGGCGTCACTCACAGTGTTGGTCTCTGTCACTCAAGTCCATTATCATTCTTCTACTCTGTGACTTAAAAATAATCGTTGAACAGATAACTGGTTTGACAGAGCGGTGAGCATTAGTGTGGCGTGTTAGGATGACTGACTAACTGCCTCTTACTTCATTTAAAATGTATTTTTAACTGTGGTATGTGTATTTCACAATGACCTAATGGCTTCAAGGTCAAAAGAAAACTCAACAGTAATAATCATTAACACTCCAGGAAGTGGCAGATAGTCACATCTTTTTTCTCTCTGTCTCTGTTGGTATATATTATTTTACTGTATAAAGACTAGTCCTAGTGTACATTAACACGATTTTAGTCCCTTATCCATCACACAGTAGGGAAACTCACAGTGTGAGTCCTTGCAATTCACACAGTTTACCACAAGAGGCGCCATTAAATACTTGGCTCCTCTGGGGCTTGAAACCAGGAGCTTCTATCTGATCTGGCAGACATGCTAACCGCTACACTATGGAACCACTTCATTCTTCTTACAATCGCAAGTAGCAGAATTTGACTAACAATCAGCCAGGAACCTCCATTTGATCTTTAAATGGACAATACATGAATATTGCTGATGAGAAAAGAAACTCAAGGATTTAAGTTGTTTAAGTACTTCCTATGTGGATGGATGTATCTTCTAACGATGATGCAGATGAGGCCATATTCCTAAACCCTATGTTTCTTGGTAGATTATTTAATTTTTTTTGTCACCACCTGACAAAATAAAACAAAATAATAATAATGATGGACAACAAGCAAATGTTTCCTACCACTCCAAATACTTTTAGTATTTTCTATCCAGTTCTGGTAACCGTAAATATAATGTGATACACCATTATATATGAAAAGCTTTTAGGAGAGACGCTGTAGGTATTCAAGAACGTGATGGACTCATTATTCATTTTATCTGAGCATCAATGAAATTGCATTCTGGGGAAGTTAACAGAAACTATGACATCAAAATCACTAACATCGCAGGGTCCACTACAAATCCTAAAATGTTGGGAAGAAAATAATTTGTACATCAGATGAGCATGGAGGGAAATATGTTGTTTTGGCTTCAGTATACTAAATGCCAAGCTAAAAACAAATAACCGTAAAGTGGGTGTTGCCTTGTTCACTGCGTGGTCGTGGTCACTGCTCCTGTTTTCACGGTGCTCACATTAGCAGCGCACAGAACATTTGTTTGGTGAAGTTTGCGGTATAAGAAATGGTTATTAAACCACCTCACCTGTGAGTGGGTTTTTTTTTCACACCGCACCTTCACACATCAGCCAAGAATGCAAAACACTATCTCATATCAAAACACAGCTGCTCTCAGGTTAGCATGTTAAATGGGCTGAGCCTTCATGTGTCTCTGTGTCTAACCTGGTTGATGGTTTTCTCCATCTGCACCAGGCCCAGGTTGGGCAGGGTGGTCTTGATGAAGTCCACGATGGACTCCAGGCTGTCATGCTGCAGGATCAGAGGTTTGTGGCTTCCCAGCAGACTCAAGGCAACTTTAAAAATGACCTCTGACCCCTGGAGGAACAACATATCTGTTCAATGACAAAGAGGAAACACAAATAAAAAACAGGTGTTATGGTTAAGGTTAAATAAGGCTTTGCCATGAAGTCTTTAAAAATGACCTGATATGTAACCCACTGACACACACACGTAGCCTATTACGTGGAAAGCTGACGGACATGGTGTTTGGAATGATGGATCCGTTGAAGCAAAGGGATTTATGCAAATTTAAATGTAGGCCAGAGTGAGTGTAGAGTGCAGGAGCTGCACAAGGATGTGTGTGCTTTGTATGTGTCAGGGTGGGGCTGCCTTGCCTGTGATCACAGAACAGATAGAGGAATGGGAGTGGAGCTGCACATTCAGTATCAAACACTACAAAGTGCTGCAAACCTAACACACAAACACACATGCACATACACACACAAAAACACGTTATGCTGAATGTTCCGCTCAGATGAGCATTAGGTGCCAGTGAGTCTGGTTCAGACATTCACCATGAAAACCAGACAGGGAAGAAATAAGGGAATGAAAATTCACTCAGGGTAAATGGTATGTGAAAGACCTTGTTATATGTGTGAGTCAACATGACTTAGTGTGATACTGCCTGCTTCTGAATGGCAATGATAACAGCCATACAATACAGAACAATCAGTCTCAATCATTTCTATTATTTCCAGAAACTCTTCCCTCGTTTTACCTGTTTTGATCAAAGACTACTGTTTCCTTGTTGACACTCCACTCTTTCTAACAGCAGCTTCTCTTCTGAGGTCAACTCTTTAGTAAATTCCATAATTTGACTTCATAAAGTATACAGTGAAATGTTGGATTGTACAGCTTGGATTTGATCAGATTTTTTCTTTTCAAAACTCAACCAGACGACTTAACCTAGAAATATTTATAAAAGGGAAGTGGTCAGTTATGGGGAGATATCCATCAAATATCAATACCAGATATTTGTTTAGATATTGACAAAATAGGAAGATAAGGCATCAGATAATGGGACTGAGACGTGATACCAATCTATTTACTTAAATTCTATGTTTGAGCAGATGTGTCAAACATCACATATAAAAACGGTATCTTTTCTGTATTCACTGAATCACTTCTTAATAACATATTGTAACATATTTTACATCAAGAATAAAAGTATGACAATTTTCAACAAAACAGATCAACAGATGGTCTACAATCTAGAGCTTACCAAAGACTCTGGCCACAAAACCGAGGGGGAAGTGAGAGGCAAAGGCTGTAAGGAACCAAGGGGTGGCGTATAGGCTGGGCCCGATTTCTTGTTGCTCCAGGTGGCTGTGGAGATCCCTGTGGTAGTCATGGAGCAGTCGCGACAACTGGTACATCTGAATCTATGAGCCGCAAATCACAGAAAGTGTTTATGGAAAATTCAAATAATAAATTACACATTTGGTGGGAAGGTTACGTTCAACTACAAGGACTTAAAAAATGCTTGAATGTTAGAGAGATTGCTTCAGTGCATGTAGTTTTTCAGTGTCTCACTTTTGTGCAGTACATGAAAACTGCTGTCACACGGAGAGAAAAGTGTTTCTCTATCTCATCGACTCCTCAGTTCTCCCACTGTTCTGTATTTACTGTCAATGTCTCACAAACAGTGCTGCTCACAGAGCGAGTCCTGCAGCTGACGCTACAGTCAGGCGTGATGAGCTGCTATGAAAACATCAAACTACATCCACAGAGGGACTCTTTTATTCTCTCCTGTGTTAAACTTTGATCACATCTGTGGAGCTTTAGAGGGAATGCAACATATGCAAGAGCTTAAATACAAGAGTACTGTAACAGCCTGCTAACTTTATATGTATTTATGTGTGTATATATATATATATAGTTTTATATTACAGACTTGATGACATCTCATGATCCAATTAATGACCGAGCCATCAGAAGCGGAGTCTGGAATCAAACAATAATAGTAATAGTAATATTTGACCAGCTAGTGAGCACTAAGGAGGACTTTTGGACATGCATAGATGACAATTTAAGAGGATTAATTTGCCCTCCACTAGGGGTCGCTAAAATGGCAATCAAAAAGTAATCACTGTGTTTATTATAATGTATAGTTATTTGTATCAGACAAACTGCACAGATGTTACCCAGGTCACTACACCAGCAGCACTGTGTGAACCAGTTGTGATTTTTGATGCACAACACTGAGCTGACACATTGTTGCTCACTTTGCATGGGAAACTAAATGTAAATGCTCCATAAGGTATACATTATAAGCATCACATGGTTGGCAATAAACAACAAGAGGAAGTCTGTTTTAATAAGCATTCTTAAGTCGACCAAGCCTTACATACCACATCTCCAACTCACTACTGATGAGGCACCTTTAAAATCTGTTGTCTTGTTTAAACACGAAGCAGTGAACTGATCTTTGTGTTTGTGATACAGGCAGGAGGGACCGGGTTGCATTCAATTTCACATTAATCATGTGGAATTAGTACAACGACTGATTACTGCACAAATTAAAGTATTTGCGTGCTTGCGTGTGTGAGACTGTGCATGTGTTAATTTTACCTGGAGGATAATCATGTCAGGCCGGTACTGTTTACGCAGCCCAATGTCATACATCAGAAACTTGAGCATATTGAAGGCATCTTCTTCCCCCATGTGTAACAGCAATACTCCGGCAATGAAGGACAGACCTTGGCAGTAGCCCACCTAACATGACAACCATAATATAAACTTCAACATTTAGTAAAATAGTTAGGTTCAATGTTAGGTCTGACAAATGACCAAATGAGACAATACCTCAGGGTCCAACAGTGAATAGGCTTTCAGTATGTTGTAGAGAGACAGCTGACCAGCCCCCAGCTGTGCTTGGAAATACGGATGAGTGGGAAAAGTGCGACCTGAGACGTAAAAAAAAAAGAAAAAGAAAAAAAAGTCAGATGTTATCTTCATAGCAAAAAAAGTTTTGTTTATTTTGAGAGCACACCATGTGACTTATTTCTAATACTAGGTGTCTGGGATCAACCAGATATTCTTCTGAAAGCATAATTAAGGCACAGATACACCTGATATAGTGTGATATTTGGCTGACATAACCCTGGAAAGAATCTGAGTGAACTACAATGAGAGACCGAAGCCTTTGGGTGTGTACACGTGTTTGAATGACACACAGTGTCTGTTCAAGTGCGCTTGAGGGAGTAGGACTTCACACTGCGCTGTTGACGCAGAAAAAAAGCATGTGGCAACCTATTCTACACTGTGGTGTTTTTTTTTGTTTTTTTTTTTTTTACAAAAAATCAAAACACAAACACACGAATGTTGCCTTGCACAACACTTCCTTCAGATGATTAACATGTAAATGCAGTTGCTACATGTGCCTTTTAATATAATGATAGGTGACAGTGTAGTGACGTTAAACACATTCTTTACATTGACAGCTTGGCAATGGACAGGTGTGTGTGTGTGTGTGTCTGTGTGTGTGTGTCTTTCATAGTGTGTGGAGGAGACAATGTGGGAGGTGTCGGTGGGGCCTCTTGTGTTTGGGAACAAAATGGCACCCTCCCTTGCCTTAAGGAAGGAGTCTTGAGTGTGCACCACTGTTGTGTATACTCAGTGTTAGGTGTGGTGTCACAGCTCAACTACCCTAACCCCCGCTCCTCTTGGCTAATGTGAGCTAATCACAACAAAATCATATAAAGAGTTGATATTGATAACTAAGCGTAACATAAACAGTGTATTAATATTGACACTAATTTCAGCTGCTATGGAACAGTTTTGTCAGTGTATGGCAGCGAGTGATTTAATGTGCTTTTCAGTGTGTGACAGCTGTGGAGTGTTGTTCAGCCCTTTTCAAACTAAACCATACACTTAGCAGTGAAATAATGACAACATGTCACAGACAGGAATGAGCTATTGTTCAGACAGCTATTGCTTGCCGAGTGTGGGAATGTTAGAGCTGGAAAGATATATATTTGTTTCATTTAAAACTTTTGACATAACAATCACATTTCAATAAATACAAAAAAGACACAGAACAGAACAGTCTCTCTCTCTCAAATGATTACCCAATTTTCCACAACTACATATTATGTTACACAAACACACACAAACACACAGAGACCCAACATTGCCAGTAAACAATGTTAGTCTGATGATTGGTGATTTTTTTTGTCAGGTGAGCAGGACACTTGTTTTTAATCAACACTATTAGTCAACAGGCAACACTGTAATTAAAGAGAAAGGTTCGGTGGAATTTAAGGAACAAAGTATGTGGTTTTATCTTTCATCCAACCAACGCTGCGCTGGTCAGACATTGGATTACTTCAGTCAAACATTGACTCCTCCCCAGGTAGTCATTCCAGCCTGGGACCATCAAACCATTTCTACATTTCCCTCTCAGAGTCTTTAGTAAACTGACTGGACAATATTTTGAAATATTTTTTAATGTGCTATATTCTGGTCAGAGGCAACTTCAATTTAAACTGTGTCATATTATGTTCAATATGCAGTATTCAATGTTTTGTAATGATCTAATCTTGTTTTATCGGTGCTTCTGCCTGTTTTGTACTTACTTTAGCATCATTACAGTGTTTGCGCCTCTGTCCTGTAGAAACTAACACCTCTACCATTAAGTCAACTCCGTATATGCTGCTAGCATCGTCTCCACCCTATTTGATCTTGAGTAACTAACCCGAAAGGCAAACACAAGGTCAGCGTCGACAACACAGAAAGTGAAGTGCAGGGACGAATATATGGGTGGCTGTGTACATGTACATGTCTATGAGGGTGTTACATGGGTGGGGTGTGTGTGTGTGTGTGTGTAGTGTGGTGTGGTGTGGTTGAAGGTGTTGGAAGCTGTTTTGAGCATTTGTGACATAAAACAAATTTTGTTTGTTAGTAGTTGTTTGGAAGCTGGTTAAGGCTGATGAAGTCCACAAAAACAACTCACTGAAATGTACAGGCATTGAACAAACATGTCTATTAACCTATCAGACTGTCTGTATTTCTTTAAAACACAAGCATTTGAAAAGGAATACTCTATAGCTCCAAAGTACTTTAAAAAGATTGTCTAAAAAAGTGAATCATCAAAATAATTTTATTACATTTGTAACATTGTATGTGTGAAGACACTTTGCACAAATATATTGCTATATGGTTGTAATGGTTGCAATGGTTGGAATAATGGTTTGGAATTTTTTAGTGATGATTATATTAAATATTGGTCATTGGTTAAATACCTTACTTATATCGTAGCATACATTTCAGGTATCACTGAAACATTATACGTTACGTTTTTTTTTTATAAAACAAAATTAGAAATATGGAAATAAAAACCAAAAATACACATTTTTTGATTAAGAAAGCAACAATGTGTGGTTGCAGACAAGGTGCACTCCTACTCTCCACTCTAGCAGTAAAAATAGACAGCTTTATTCATACCAAATGTATTAGTAGACAAAAAAATGTTTTTAAGGCAATTCATGTTAGCAAGTAAAATGAAGGAAGTTGGAACAATATTCCCTGTCTGTGTGTGTGTGTGTATGTGTGTGAATTACCAAGGTCAATGAGGATGGCGTGTTGCTGTGAGGTGAGCTGCTTTAGCAGTTCTTTGTATGGAGTGTGGTTGGTTGGTGGTCTGGAGGGCACCGTCTGTCGGAGCAGGTACTGTTCTGAGAGGAGCTTCCAGATCTCACCTCGATGCTGCCTCGGGACTCCTGTCAGACATGACAGATGTGAAGCAGAGTTTGAATCACTGAGGAAGGGACGGGGTTGTTCAACATGATCAAATGTCAAACATAACAGCCGCACAGTAGTCAACTCTGAAAGCTTTGATTCATTATTCAGATTACGTAGTACATACAGCTGAATGAGTTGACATCGGACTACAACAACTTTGGTGTCAAGACGCCAGAAAGGTCCTGACAGTGTTAGCCCCAGGCTGCTCAAAGCCTGTTCCTTGTCCTTGAACCATCCTTCCAGCTCTACTGGGTGACAAGCTGACAGCAATAAAGGTGGATGCCCCCCTCAAGTTCTGGATTGTAGACTAGTGACTGGCAGAACACAATATGTACGTGTACAACACAGTTGTTGGTCAGTAATACTGGATTACCACAGGGAACCGTACTTTCTGACTTAGGCCAAAGAACTGGATGTGGATCTGACAAGGCCAATGACTCATGTCAGAATCAGAAGTAGAACCAGAAATACAGTCATGTAGAAACACAGGTACTTGTAACCTCATTAAAGTTCACTCTTGCCCAATTTTCAGACAATAAAGTGGTCTGGGCTAAGAACAGTGACACCTACAATACGGTCCTGGAGTCACCCCTGTTTTCTGAGGCAGCTGAGGTCAACATCTGGTACAGGCTTCTGAGGATGTTTTATGAGACTATGGTTGGCAGTGCTGTCCACTAAGTCCATTATGATGTTGTATGCTGGGGCAGCAGTCTTCCGGTGACCATCAGACTCTTTATGAATTACATTTGGCACAGTTAATTAGTTAATTAGTTACTTTTGCATTTTTAATAATACATTTGAGTTACTTCTACTTTTGCTGACTGTTTAAGATTGTTCAATATTATTTTCTAATTTAGATGTAGATGAAAGATGTGTCATTTTCATAGCTATGGCATAAGATGAAAATAAAGCTGTAGCCTGAAGCCAATTTCTATACATACAAAGAGCAAAATGTGAAAGGTTTAGTTCAGTCTGCCAAGAAGTTGATTGACAGATAAACAGCCCTCCAGATGATGTGAGATTTATTTGATTTTTTTTGTCATTCTGTGGCTAGTAATTAGTTGATTCACTAAATGTCAAACTAATAAGAGCCTTGACCAAGAGCACCTTAAAGCTATCATGAGGATGAGGGTCATTAAATAAAACCCACAAAGTCATTCATATTGTAATGATATTGGTAATACCTATCTCCATCAGCAGGACGTCTAGAATGAAAAAGACTGAATACATTAAGCTGTCATCAAGTAAATACCTTTTTTTCTAAGTGAACTACATCTGTAATTTCAGATGTCCTTGTTTAACAGTCTTTGTCTTGAGAGGGTTTTTACTCCATTTTCTGAGTCAGTGTTTTTTCTGTGCGCTTACACATGCTGCAATTTTGATCTACTATAGTATGTTCAAAGCTGAGAGATGTGTGAACATAACAGTTCCTGTCCTTCGTAGAGGACAAGCTGATACAAGTACAAGTACAAGAACAGAACAGGAAGCTCTGACAGGGAGACACAGACAACATTTGAATAAAGCAAAACATATGAACTCTTATTAGAGGCTTAAAGCAGTTCATGCACTCCCATTTCTGTCTGTGTTCAACCCCTGCAGAGGCTGCTGATAAGAAAAAGGTTACCAAACACTACAGTTTAGACCGTTGTACATAAAGTAGCAGTCAGTATTAGTAAACACCTGAACATGATATTCTACAAAGGACAAGGGTTTGCATTGGGACGGTCAAACACTTACCTTGTGCAACAGCAGCGTGTATGGTCTCTGTGTCAAATTTGACCTTTGATCGACCCGGCATTCCCAGCATCTTCTCCCACACCACAGTAACCTCTTTTAAACACGGAGTAATTTCCTCATAGTCCAGCTTCAGGCGCTTGTTCTGTAGATGGTTCTCTGAGGCTACATACAACAAGACACAGATAAGGCATCGGAGTAATGCAACAGCCTGGGCAGTTGGTGCAGTGATGCTGCAAGCCCTGGAATAAAACTAGTTTAAGAGTCAAATGTAAAAATGCTGAGGAAAAACACGTTTTAAATACATTTTTAGAGAAAATATTTTATTTTCCAAATATTTTACTCAAGAGATGGTAATTATTATGTCTGCTAACTGTTAAATAACCAATTAATGATTTCATTTTTGAAATTACTAACATGTGCTTCCTTCTCTCTACAAGTCATTTCTCTGGATTACTGTTTAAAATGACCATACAAACCGTGTAACCGGAACTATGTTACATTAAGAGTTTGACTTGAAAAACTAAAACAAAGTCTTCACTGTGCAGCGACTTGTCATATACAACACTGGTAGAAGAACCAGTCCTGGGACCTTTGCCCTGAGCTTTTCCTGGGCTGAGCAAAGCCAGTAGTGGCACACCTCCACCAAGGAAATGTGGTTGTCCTCCTACTGGGGTGCGGGTGAGGGTGGTGGTGGTTACCGTACTATAGTTGGGTTTCACACTGAATGACTCAACATCAATGCAGTGTCTACTGACTTGTGTTTGTTGAAAATACCCTTGGTGGTAATTCTGAACCTTCACAAATTTGACACAAACACCCAAGTTGTGTTCCGGTTCAACAAGTTGACACTGATGATCAAAGAAGGTGAAGGCACACCCAGCGACCCTCTTCTGTTCCTCTTTTTTTGACACCACCCTTCCTCTCTTCTCCCTCTGAACTCTTTCACACAGAACATTTCGTACTGCAGCGTGACAGTAATGGACAGTCATGTCATTTCTTGCTTGTACCTTTACCAATAATACAAAAAAAAATGCTTCAGTGGATATGAAGGCCTGGAATTATATAACCCTCTAGTCCCGAAGACCACTAAATGCTCTGTACACTACAGATTCAGACTACTAACTTGGCAACAAATAGGCTATCAAGTCTGGAATTGATCCTAAAATCAGGGATGTAAAACAACTGCACTGCCTATTGAACTACAGCCATCCTGTGTAAACAGGAATGGACTGCAAATGTGCACTTGCTTTGAAACAATTCCAGTCAAGTTGAGAAAGATCTCAACAAGGTATGCAAGCCTTTTATCTCACAGCATCTGTAAACACATCAAAGTAGTCTGGAGTGACCTGGAAGATGTATCCTGGAGAAAGAAGGCAGAAAAGTTGAACAGAACAAGAGGCCGACACAACCAGAGTAAGAATAGATGTTGTAAGAAGGGCTGTGGTTCTGCCGTCTGTCTTATCAGCAGTTCAGAGCAGGCAGAGTCTAGTCTATCAGGACTGACTTCTTGGCTGAAGGTCCCACTGGCCAAATTTGCATGAAACCTCTCCACTGTACAATCTCTGCAGGCTGAACAGTGCACAACAGGACAGGATACCGCACCCTGGAGCTGACAAAGAAGCATTCACACCAATACAGATGAATATACACATGCATGGCCACAGATGGACCACAAAAGGTGAAGGGAAAAAAGATAAACAAATAAGAGTTGAGGACAAAGAGCAGAGATCCACCCTGGGCCAAATGAGAGAGAAAGGGTGGAGTCCGACATGGAAGACAAATAAAAGACAATGGAACAACGGATTCTCCAGAAAAATATAATGTTGGTGTGTGAAAAGCCAATGATTAGCTAATTATGTATGTGTGTGTTTGTGTGTTTTTTGCTCTAATTTGCATAGATGGGTAAGTGTACCTGTGTCCTGAACTAGTTGGCGAGCATCAACACACACCTAAATGTGAGTCACACCCTTAACAACATGCGACTTGCACAGACCATTCATTTTGATGCTTACGCAACACAACACAGTCACACAGAGTGAAACAATGGCTCAACAGCGGAGTGCTGATGAAAATAATATAGGTCAGTGATGATGTAGCAAAATCAACTTCAATCAACATCTCTCTCACACTCACACTCTCTCTCACACACACACACACACACACACTACGCAAATAAAAACTAAAACCAGTTCAAGCCTAGACTTAAGCTCAGGACTAGATTGATGTAAACCAATATGAAGACAACTGTTACTGACTGATACCAGTGTTTATATTAGTTTTTCAAACACATGTTTGTATTTCTAGAGAGTATAAAATTGTCAGATAAAGGTGGTGTGTACTCAATGAAGTGTGTTATTACACACAAAACAGGCGTGTTGCCAATAAGAGATTGATTCATGTATTAATCTCCGCTACAAAGAAATAATCTAACCTGACTGTCAACTGTGCAACTGTCAACAAATCCAATCCAAATTTGGGGGTCACAGTTTTGGGAAAACATGTAACTGTACACTAAACCAATAAATGTGGTTGAAAAGGTTTGGTTTTTTTTTCAGTATAAACTTCAGTTTCCCAGAGTTTTCTCTTTTATGTAGACAATTAGGCTACGCTTGGTAGTTTTGCAATAGCATTAAGAGCAAGGCAGGTGTAAGCTTTAATACTAATCATCACTGTAAGTGTGACAAAGAGCTGGTACCACTGCCAAGGTAAACGCCCTGTGTGTGTTAAAGAAAACTGAAATAATTTCCAGGATCCACCTGTTTACTCGGAACCGGCTTTAAAATTTAATAGCTTCTTCCTTCTTGAATTATGCCACACCCTTCCACACAGTGTTATTGTGATCAGATAATTATCCAACATACAGTGTTTTTTTGTTTTGTTTTTAACATGTGACAATAAATTCAATGGATTGAATGTGTGCATGTTTGCAGATGCACGCTCAGAGAGAATAAAAACGTTTGTCTGTGTACAGGTGTGTCAACGTCCTGGGCTCCGAGTGTGTTAGTGATTACAGCAGAACTCTGTGTGTGTTTAGCTCACCCTGTAGTTTTTGGTTCTCCCTCTCCATCCGCTGCAGCAAGATTTGCTGCAGGATGGCCTTTCTCCACAGATCTCTGAGCTCCTCTTTGCTTCTTTTCGTTCTCTCCTCGGGCAACGCTCTCATATCCACATTTCCTCCAGCTCCCACTGGGCTGGCACACACGCGTCCAATGTCCAGACAGGAATCTGCCCGCTCTGGAAAGACAAATTACATATCATGATGATACAACACTACTTTTAGCCTATATGGTCACTATAACTCTAAATGACAAAAAAAAAACAACAACAAAAAAACAAAAAACTACCCCAACTTAAACTAATAACACACTAAATACATGAATTGATCTATACTTTATTAGCAGAGTTTGTGATGAGAAGCATTTGTCCAGGTATTTACAAGCTTTTTCTATGAACATACGACAATGAATGGACATTATAATTAGAACCAAATCATGGTCAGTGTAATTACAGTCCTCACAGAAAGTGAAAGACTTAAACCACTTTGTCTAACAATTAGTTGCAACACTACTATTTTGAATACTAGCATATTACTAATGACTAAAATATATGTTTTTAATGTATAATAACTCTAGGAATACTTATGTTATGTTATGTATGTTATGTTTGTGACAATGTAAAAATGTACACTATAAACATACTCAAAAAAGGAATGACCAACATATAAAGTTAATCAAAATTAGGGTTTCACTCTAATCTAGGAATTTTTATTTTTCAAACTTTGTAGGCCAAGCTGACTTAAAATATACTTTCCTATCTTCTCCTATTTATTTCAAAGTAAAATGCACCTTAACAGTTGTTTATTATAATGCCATTTTTTAGGTAAGTGTACAAAGACATTCTTAATCTGGGTTCATTCCTATCCACTAGAGAGTCATACTATATATATTTTTCTTTAAAAAAAATTGCTAAACTTAAAAATATTTTTCACAGTATGGTGCAACACATGCACAGTAACAAAAAGTGTTTTCATGACTCCACCCTAAAGTACAGGGTGGATCCCAAACCTCAAAATACCCTGTGTTGTTTAGAGAAAGGACATAACAACTATCCAAATAGCACTTGTTTTATACACATACACACACACACACAACATGCATGTAGCCTCACATATCAAGACTTATTAAACTCATAATTTCTCCAAGACTATTCTAAAACTGACTGCATAGCCCACACTCTGACCTTTACTTCACCCTCAACAATACTTCACCTTGGAGTTTCACATCAGAATCAGGAGCTAAAGCTAGGTCTCTCTCTCTCTCTCTCACACACACACACACACACACACACACACACACATATACAAATGAAAACGCAAATGTGACATTTCTCTACTCAAAGAAAAACGCTAACTGTGCCAGTTAAGTCCCCCTACAGGAATATGAACGAGGACATGTGGACCTGATGAGACATGGTGACGTACACAACGTCTGTTCTTTAGGCTTGGTTAGATTAACATTAATGTGCGCCTTTGTGTCTGTGTCATGCAAGAGTCACTGTACAAACATATGGCTCTTAACTTATGAAAACATACCAGACACATATGTAAAACAGACACACAAAAAAGGTGACCTCTTCTCAAAGACCCATGCAATTGTTAGATAAACAGAGACTGCTACACAGCTGTCACGGGACATTTTGAAAGAGTTTGCTTTTAAGTGAGAAGAATGAATGACAGACAGACAGACAGACACACACACACACACACACACACACACACACACACACACACACACATGGACAAAGGTGTGATAAAGTGATTAAAGGACCTTGAAAAGGAACTTTCTCTTGGCAACTGTCCAATACAGTCTGTAGTCTCCTGAAGTTACCTGAACTTTGCTGACCTGTATAAATAGTTATGTGTTCAATTGAGAGACCCCCCCCAAAAAAACAAACAAAATAAAACAACTGATAAATCACACACACATACATGCACACACAAGTTAGTGCAAAATAGCCAAATTCACACCCTATGCAAACATACAACTTTGGCCTAAAACCAAAAAAAAGTCTCAAGAAACATATTTCCATACACACACACACACACACAAAGTGGGTCAACAAGGCTGGCGCTGTCTGTGTGTGAACAGTCAACATAACCTTGAGACACAACCACCCTTCAAGCACACACTCATACAAATTCCCACATACACACACTCGACACACCCATGACCTCATATATGTAAGCACACATGAACACACACCCAGGCCCAAACTGATTTTCGGAGCACACTGGGCCAGCGGGAAAACTTTTACTCTGACCTGATAAAAGTATTTTCTTACACTGCCTGTTAAAATAAACTTGAACTGTGTTTCATTATTGACAAGATGGAGATTTCTACAATACACATGGGGAATTAAATGATTTAAACGAATTAAAAGTGATCTGTGATAATGCTCCAAAGAGGGGAACAAAAGCAGTGTTATTTGATTGTTCCTGTTTAATATTAAAAAAGGAAACTTACTGATACTTTTAAACCTAAATTATATCTCATAATACTATTAAGACCACTTTCAAAGGAGAGGGAAATAAAGCAGTTAATCTTGTCTTGGTTAAATCTAAGATATGATACCAGTAAGCATCACATCAATGTGAAATATGTTCTTGAATAATATGATTTATTGACTTAGCTATTGTTGTAAACTTGGATCTGATCCTGATTAAACTGCACAGTAAAACATGTGGCTGTTCTACGTTTAAGCCGTGACTGGAGGAATGTGTCTATGTTGGACGTTGGCACCACTCTGTGGTAGTACAAAGAACTGAAGATAGCAACAGGAATAAAAACACATGAGAGTCATTTAGCCCACATGTAAAGATACTAATGTGAGGAGTAAGAAACGATGAATGCTTTCACACAGGCAGTTCAGCAGCTATGATTTAAGAAATTACCAACAAGGCATGCTAATGTTTTACCATTGATGTCCATGTTCTTCTGAGGTGTAGCGACCCGGAGGAAAATCTGCTGCCTCCATGAGTGACGGTGACTCCGCACGGGGCTTTCCTCCACCTCTCCAGCCAAAGCCGACGTGGAGAGAGCAGCGACATCCCTGCAAACATACAAAGACACACACAATTGGCATTAGAAATTAATGAATACAACTTTCTGTCTAAAGTTTGATTGCTTGAAGGACAGCACTGTGATAAAGTTTGAGTCAAAAGGCATACATGCTAAACAGTAGGAATACTGACAAATACCAGTGTAAATGGTTTACTTCTTTCTGGGGGTTTTTTCACGATAAAATATGTTCTTAATTCAGCCCACCTACATCCTGAAGCCTCAGACTGCTGTACAATGATAGCTAGACAGTGACTTTAATCTGCAGCATTATTCACAACTGTCTGAAACTTCAGCACAACACCGTGCATGTATATGTACCTGCTCCTTAGCTCAGGGCAATCGTTCTCTTGGACAGGTGCCAGAAATTGAAATTTCAAAAAATTAGGGACAGAGGAAGAGGACTGGAGACGAGCACGAAGACCACCCAGAGGGCTAAGATGGAGAGATGAAAAGTTTAAGACAAGGAGCAAAGAAGTTGACAGTTAAAAATGAAACTAAAAAAGCTCAGTGGCTTGTTCTCATTAAGGGAGGAAAGTTATATCAAATGAGAGAAAAGGAATACACTGGCTAAAGAGAACTAGAGCAGGAAACTCACCTTCTTTTAAGTCGGGCTCCAGAATAAGGTGAGGGAGGATGATGTGGGAGCAGAGGAGAGGAGGGTAAATGTGAGCAAGGAACAGGAGGAAGGTTGGAGTTTGATGGCACATGTCTACGAAGCAGTGAGTGGGGGAGAAAAGGTGCAAAGAAAGTCAAAGAAACCAAAAACTGAAAAAAATAGAAGAATTCAAAAAAGAGTGAGAAGTATGGGTAGAAATTGATGAAAAAAGTTTTTTCATAAAGTTAAGCAGTGTAGGAAAGGTAAGAGCTGATTACCTACTTCTTTTTTTTTATTTTACAAATGTTATCCCTGTAACAAATAAAATGAATACAGGTTTCAGGTTTTATTAAGCTGCTAAGATGCTATTTTGGTCTGTTTGTTTATGCTCTGTGCAGCTCTAGGGATCCTTCTGAGTAAAATAAACTTACATGTAAAAAACCCACCTATTACAGAACAGTTATCCTCCCTTTATTTCCAGCTAAATTTGAGCCTTACAATCTAGAACATATGAAGCCAAAAGAATGACGTATCACTTCTGAAGACTATGGCTCAAAAGACTGTAAGTGCAGAGCTTAGCGGTGGAGCACTGCCATTTATTTAAAAATACATTTAAAAAAAAATTGTAACCAAGTTTAGTGCTTCGGGATTGTATGCGTTTGCAGCAGATAATTGTATTCTCTCCTTACTTGCTCTGGTGGGGTGTGTCAGTGCTGACAGAGTAGTGTCGTACGAGCTTGGGCTTGACGGAGGCAGCGGAATTCGGCGGAGTGTAAAGTAGTGTTTGCATTGATGAGTACTCGGTTCCAGATGAGGAGGTGGGCGAGTGGCTGTAGGTGCTGGCACGACGACGGAAGGCCTGCGGCTGAGCATCTCCAGGTAAAGAGGAGAAGGAAGGGGACAAGTGGAGAGAAGCATCAAGGCACTTTAGGTCTCCTGTTGAATTGTGGCACCTGTGAAGTGACAGAGAGAGGGAGGTGTAAATGGTCTGCATGTGTATAAGATATGAACTAAAGGACACCAACTATTTTAGTACTTATCCAAATGAGTTTCTCAGATCAACAGTGAGTGAGGAGTTGACATGACACTGTCAGGCCAAAACAACTTCAAATTAACCAAGAATTTACATAAAAATGAACTCTACTTTGACTTCAGATAAATTGGAATTTATTTTTTTTAGTTGGAAAAGAACCTTCGCGTGTGTTTACCTGAGAGGGCTGGTGGGGGACAGCTGGGTGGAGACAGGCAGGGCGTCATCTAAGCTGGGCTGGTCTTGGCTGCTATTAACAGTACAGATGGATGAGCTGCTCTCACTACCTTCACTGTTTTCTCGGTGGACTCTGGACCTGCTGCTTCCCTGAAAGTAACAAATGCACCATCCAGGTTGGGGGTAATATAACGGCAAGTGTTGCAAACCAAGACAAATTAAGAAGCTTAATTAAACATTCTGAAAAGGTGAGTACATTAGCAGTTTATATAATAACAAGTTTGGGTTAATAGATTGGACATAAAAGGAGCATCAAACAAAGGCTTGGTCTTTTTAAAATATTTTTTGCAAATAATGGCAAAAAACTTTGAAAGTTAAGCATCTCTTAATGTTAATGTTTTCTTAGCATGAGATAACAAAGAATGCTTTGCATTTAAAACTGTGTGCTACACAAATTCACAGATTCTACTTCAAGTCGCCTTCCCTTACCTTCAAGATGCCCTCCAGGGACTCAGTGAGGGAGCGCTTGGCTCGACTCTTAAACTGCTCTAGTCGCTGTCGGCTGCTGCTTGGCTGCTGCACCTCCACAGGGGCTGGAGCTGACTCTTCACTCTGTTTTATGAACAAAAAGATAAGAGGTGACAAAAAGAAAAGATATGACTGTGAGCTAGAGGGAGTTCTACTGTTTCCCATAGACTCAACTTCTTGCTGTATTTGACACTGGAATCTAGTTATGATGAATTCCATTCATCCATTGGCAGGGTCAATGGCCTAAAAAAGTGTTTAAGACCCCTGCTAATCTTTTTTTTTCCTTTATATAGATAAATTAGACAAAAAAAATGTATTTTTGTCAACATCACACAGATAAGACATTTACTTGTTTGCTGTCTCCAGACAGAATGTGCTGATGGCTCTTCTGTTTCTCCTCATACAGGTTTCTCAGTGAAGTCATCACCAACTCATTCTCTTCTTGATCACTCTTGGGATGAGCTCTCTGTAAAATATATTTTATGGGATAATTTATTTATAATTATGCTTTTTTTTACTTACTGCGACAAAGACTACTACTGTGTGCTACGTAAAATTAAGCAGTAGGACATGTTCTAAACGTAACAGGAAGTCATTGAACCAGATTGTAGAGGTGCAGTGCAATTGCATCACCAGCAGATGTCAGTGGAGCTTTAGGTTATTGGCTTGTACCGATTTCCCTGTTGTTACGGGGAAAAGAGGCAGAAGTTTTTGGAGACTAAGTTTTGCATAAAAATCAGGAATACTGTATAGTCAAGACAAAGACTTGTTTCTTTTGACGTTACGGTCACTTAAGAGACAATCCTCTCTCGCTGACACGCAGCTTGAGATTCTTTTATGTAGAACTGTACTTTCCAGGAGAGAGACATTACCATGGTGTTTTCAAATACTGATGCCTGCTCCTCATTGTCCAGAGTGGCCAAATGTCTCTGAAGCTCCAGTTTGGTTTTAGAAGGATGTAGACCTGGGGCAAGTGGGGGCAAATACAGCATAAAACATAGTTTAATGTTAAGTTTGAAGATGTGTAACAACTGAAAGAGTATCATCTTTCCAAGATCAACTGTTTCTGTCTTAAGGAATTTGGAGAATAAAATATTGTTACAATCTTGTTACTATTCCTTCTTATCACTCTCCTCCTGAATGTTAGTTTGGAAAATAACCACAAGATTGTGTCCTTTTTGTTATTATCCCTGACAAACAGACTGAAATGTTTCTAAAAATGTTGAACTTTTTCAACCTAATTAATATACAGTAGAAGAGTCCAGGGATCTGTTCCCTACCTTCAATCTTTTCACACAGTTTGTGCAGCTGTTGCATGGGGCAGCTGTCACACTGTTGGCTTTGGGTCTTTGCACTCTGCTGGAGAGCTGCCATAGAAAATGCCTGCTTTAAAGTCAGCATTATCTCATCCACCTATGAATGAAAGAGAGCATCCAGAGTATATTTAAGCATTAAATTGTTCCTCCACTGTTTATCCAGTTTTTAAAAAAACAACAAGAAACGAAAAATTGTGTTTGGCTCAAACCAGTTAAAAAAAACAACAAGAAACGAATCTCTGAAAAATTGTGTTTGGCTCAAACCAGTTCTTTAACATTGATGTGTAAAAAATCAGTTTTTACATTCCACATACATTTTGCCAGACGAAATCAGAGTCTTTACATTCCACATACATTTTGCCAGACTACAAATGGGAATTAACAATAGAAATGTCTCACCAGTGATTCATCTGTACACTGAAAGACATAGCACATAAAGTGGCAATTTCCACCTTCCACCACCTCTCTGCAAATAAAGCCGAAGTGATCCACGTGCCGAATACCCTACAGTGATGAAAGACAGCTTTTAAACGACGTCACAGGCAAACAGTCAAGACAGGTTGTGTTAAATACCACTGATTTACGTATACCTGTGAGCAGAAAGAGATTTCTTTGAAACCCTTCTCTATGGCCACCTTCTTTGTGTCTGGACTAACCAAGAAGACCTGAGACCTGCCAACCTAAAAGAATAAAATAACACAGAAAGTTTAATTCATTGAAACATATCTTGATCTGGATTGTGTTTTAATCATCATGTGTTTTTTTGCATTTCTGGTGAACAAAGTTGTTCTTCCATTTTTTTAAGTTCTTTCCTACTATTTTTGAATCCTTTCAAAAGCAAAATGAGACAATGATGACATCATCCTAGCAGCTATCAGTGGCAGCATTAGGATGTGTCATTAGTGTCAACAATATTTCTAGTTTATTTGCTGAGATGAACAGCAAAGCACACTTGTGGTTCCTGTATCAGTGGTCACCATTTCCTGTCTAGATAATAAACAGGAAACCCCTGTTGACAAGAGCATGGGGGGGGTCAAGTGAAGGTCATTCGGGGGAGTGAAACCAGAGGTGTTTTGAACAACAGTCAGCATCTGGTTTTGCTGAATCATAGGTGTACTATTTTCCCATCTTTCTGCTTTCCAGTGAACAACTGTGTTCATTAAAGACAACTGAAGTCAGTTACATGTTGAAGGTTTGATTTGCCTGTAGACATGATGTGTAATCACCATAATTACCATAAAGAGCATGGTCCTGTTCTCCTGCAGGTTTGTGGGTTGTACCTCAATGGATTGGGAAAGTGCATCAGTAGTGTTTGCATTGGAAATTTCTGGTGAAAGTCCATTTTCGTCCAGGGCATGCAGACAAGGAAAGCTGGGGTCTCGCCGGTAAAACAGTGTCTTCTTGTTGGTGTAAGGACTTCCTGCGGCACCATTACCCACAACGCTGCTTCCAGGTCCATTGGACTGAAAGCTCAATGCCCTCCTCAACCCACCCACCAAACCACCGCTGTTTCCTTCCTTATCAGTCGTCCCTGAGCCATGTAACTGGCTGAACTTCTCAATGCAATCATCAATGAGTGCAGGGGGGGCTTTCCTGTGAGCAACACTAACACGACCGCAGAAGAGTACCTCGAACCTTTTGGCAAAAGCTGTCGGTGACAAAGCAGCAGCGGGTGCTGCGGAAGTTGTCGTCAGGGAGGGATAAGAGAAACATGATTCTGAGGAATCATTGCCTGCGGAGGGAGTTTTGTCACCAGTGTTCAGGATATCATTGTTGCGGGCGGAGGTCTTGCCAGCTTGCCTCAGCGAACTGATGATCTCAGGGACCTGAGGAGAGAGTGAAGGGAATCTGTCAGAACTGTAGGATGTGCACAATGGTCAATGCATAATATACAGTATTAGATAAAGATATCAATGTACAATAAAAAGTGCAAGATCATTCAAGCACTGGGGCGCTGGAGACATACTTTTTGAAATCATCAACACAGCCAGCTGTCTGTTTGAAATACATATATATATATATATATATATATATATATATATATATATATATATATATATATATATATATATATATATATATATATATATGTACAGTATATAAGTAAAGGAGATTTTCATTGAATCTGTGGTGATTTAGTGAAACTCCAAGGCTCTGATAAACTAATCTAATCACATTTGACCTATATCTGATAAGAAACATAAAACTGAGCAATCATTCGATAATGAGACTGGTTTATAACAGGTTTCGTAGCATAATTATGCACCACGGCAAAACAAAAGTGCAGCACAGTGCATTGTAACAAGAAGAAACATGCTACATCTGTCAATAGTTTTCATCAAGCAGACATGGATGTTGGATCAACTAGCTTGAACACTGACCAGTCTCAAACTGATAACATTCTCTGTGTTTAGTTATGTACTTGTTGGTTTTGTCACTCTATAGAACAACCAATCATGTTGTTTATGGTTTGCAGCAATTGCATCATGAACGCTACTGAAGCCTGAGGACAGAGAGGCAAAATGACTCAGCAGCGCGAGCTATTTAGCTATAACGAGAAACCGACTGAGTGACCTATTCTTTTAAAACCAATTTAAAAAAACAAGCATAACAAAGTTTGTCTTTACAATTGTATGCTAATTAAGGTTATTTTCATGACACTAAAACTTCTGTTCCCAGCCTTCTTGTTGTTACAGTTTTCTCTTTCAAACCAAAGTGGATAATGTCATTCTTGCTATATATGTATATGTATGTGTGTGTGTATATATATATATATATATATATATATATATATATATATACAGCATATGCTTTGACTAATAAAAACGAACCTTGGAAGGTTGTGGAACCTTGGAAATTCTTCTCTAAATGAAATAAAACTACTGAACACAGTATATGATATTGGTAGATGGTGGAAGACTCACTTCTCTGACCAAACTAGGGAACAATGAAGGGGGAAGTACACAAAATTTAGCAGAAGCGTTTGGTCCAGTCACACACACTAGTGATGTCATTTAAGTGAGATGCTTGATCAGACACTGAGTCAAGTCTGCTGTGTCTTGCCTCAGTCTTCTCTTCCCCGTTCTTTTATCATGGTCTGCTCTACCAGGGCAAACTTGGTGCATAGGTTTTTAGTCTGAGTTTCATGTTTGAGTTTGCATCTTTTGAATAATCACCTGTCAGTCTAATCAGGGTATGCAGCAGAGCAAAGGTATCTAAATGCACAAAACAAATGGTTGTTGTTTTACACAATTAGGTCTGATGTAAAAGTCTTGTCAAAAACAAAATTAAAGTTGTAATTTTTTAAAAAAGCCCTACGGTCTGTAGTGAAATGATCTGACCAAACTGCTGCAAATATTAAAAGCCTCCTATATTGCCAAACCACCCTAGATATTCTGCAGCATCACTTCCTGCTCTCTAATTCTCACAAATTTCATAATCTTGATATCAGAAAAACTATGGATCAACCTCAACAAAAACTGTACTTTCAGTCAATCACTTAACAGATTGACCTGATCAGAACTCCTGCTGCTCTCCAAGCAGAGTCAGATAGTACACTGTATCATCACAACTGATTCACTGCCATGTTACTCACAAGATAGGCATCCAGACACCATGGTTCTCACCATCTAGCTTCATGTGTCAACTTGTTTGAAACAAATTGGCAGAGGAGTGGAGTCTGCTATCTGCACGCTTAAAAGAGCTTTAAGAGAGTTTGTTTTGCCTTAGCCCTCATACCTATACCATGTCTTTTTTTTACTTATACTGTCATTGCTTAACTATTAAAAACCTTTGAACCAATATTAGATATCATATATATCATATCATATTTTTCAGACCTTTTCACATTGCCTCAAAGATGGGCCACTAGGAAACAGAGGAGAAGTTTACGTCCTTGTGTGACCTTTCCTCACGTCAGGAACACTGCTCCAGTTTCCCTCCTACTGCTTTATTTTGGCTGAAAGCTGCATTTTAACCGCTCAGCGTGATGATCTCACCATTTCACCTAGTTTTCTTCAATCACTCCCATCCCAAAATTTCAGTTATTACATATTAAACCATTTAAAGCTATAAACAAAATGCCACACAATTTTATTTATGGTAAATGTTGAGCTTTCACTGTCCAGTAAAAATATATTTGCCTTGGTTATTGGTACAACTGGTTTCAACACCAATATATTGTGCAATACAACACAAACTACAGATGGAATAAACAATTATTGTGAAAGTCTGATACACAGGCTTTTTCTAGTCCTGGTTATTTCTGTTACTCTAGCCTTCTAAAGCAATGCAATACAACACAAACTACGGATGGAATAAACAATTATTGTGTATTTCTGTTACTCTAGCCTTCTAAAGCTAAAGGAAATAGTCCTTTAGCTTTGTCAAACTTCTGCGCTTTCTGGGTATTTTAATCCAAATGCCAATAAAACTAATTTAAAAATTCCTCCTCAAGCAACTACTATTAGGTAAAAATGTAGCTAGCTCGTCAACACTGTGGCTTGAACTATACTTTACAGTGGGAAGTTGAGATGGTTACCAAGATTTTAACTTGTCTTTCTTCAATTATCTTACAGTACACTGTAAGGGAAATTTTCTAGTATTTGCTGTAATAAATAGGACATGACAACAAAACAGATGTGGCACTGAAAGATCTTTGTTAAATAAAACACACAAACACTCTATACTCAGTGTTTCCACCAGTACTTGGTTTAGTTTTATATTGGTGAGTGTCTGAGAAACATTTTACTGCCAGTGCACGTCCACTCTTTTTTTTTATACACACATGATAAAAGCTTTTCAAAACTAACAAAAAAATCATTAAATGTTAAAAACTGTTGTTCCAAAATATTAGAACTTTTAAGGAACCACTTTGGTGTAATCTTGTGATGAACGTGTGTTAACTTGTCAGGGAGGAAGTATGTCAGAGAGGAAGGACTCAATAATCTACAACACTCAGATCGTAGGTAAACTGATGAAAAGAAGAGAAAGATAAAAAATACAGAGTATATATGTAAATGTTTGTGTATCATTTGTAATGTTGTCCAGCTTCGTATACACATTCTTCCTGTCTTTCTGTTGCTTCTTCCATCTACAGTCTGCTTATCTAAGGCAAACACGTGTAACATGGATCAGTGAGAGGATTTGCTCTTTAGAGAGGAACCTTAGCTTCAGCCACTGATTGAACAGTATCTCTTGTTCAATGAAACGTTTACATGAGGCTGATCTCAGACAGGAAGGCAGCTGGACGTTGCCTTGCGTTTTGATACCCAGACTTGGCCTCTCAGAGAGTAAAAACACTGAACAAGTACAGTCATTCACACCCAGCCAGAAGAACACTGAACTACTGTGTTACTGACCTCGAAAGAAGGAAGTTACACAAGTGGCAGAACCTCTAAATTCACCCTCATAGAAAAATTAAAATTATGGTGTGTTTAGAAACAGAAAAGGGTCAAAGATATTAAAAAAGACTGTAGCTTTAATATCTCGTCATATATATGATAGGTCTATCTATTCTCCCAGCTCACATTCAAAGTACAGGGAGTGTATAAATGTAATAAAATGAAATTTGAAGAGCCACAACACAGATATTATTATAAGGGAAGGTTAAAATCATAAGGAGAACTGCCTCAACAAATGTGAAATAAAAAATATGCAAGGGAGATGAAATATGTTAAAATTTGGAACTAGAAGATCTGATGCCTTTTTCAACCGTGACTGACTGATGAGGTGTAACCTCCAGGAAATGCTATTTAAATCAAACACTCTCTTAAATACAAATAACTTTTCACTACTCCATCACAACAGATACGTATTTGTCTTTGTAGCACAAACAAGTGTTAATCCGTTTTATGTACCAATGGCTGCACTAACAGTCATTTAAAATGGTTCCAGAAAATGTGGAGCAACCAGAGCTGTTTCTGTTTCTCTGCGTCCAATGCAGTTAACATGAACTTCTATTGCATATTAAATTATTAGACATCACCTGATTGGATACAAAAACAGAACGGACGTCAGGAGATTGTTCTTCTTTGTTGTGTTGTGAGGTCAATTCCGTGAGAAGCATCTGTTGCATGCTCTGTGCCTCAGCAGGAGTTCATGTTACTCACTTTACATGGACGCACCTTCAAGTGGTGAAATTTGGCACCAAACACTTAAAAAAAAGTAGAGGTGAGAAATACAAATCCACAAAACTACCACTAGATCTCAGTAAGTCCTTTAAATATACCTTTAACTGTTCTCTGTTAATGAATACAAAAATTAAATTGTGATTGGCTCTGCAGTCAGCTAGTAAACAGATGATAAAAGATTCTACACAAACAAGAAAAATTACTGATATACAAATGTCACAGCGGTCATCATAAATCTACAACAATGGTCAAAATGATCAAAAGTCTACTTTTTTTTTTTTTTTTTTTGGTTTCCCATGGTCATGTGCTCGGGTCTTGTGCTTTATAAAGCGTAGCCAGAATTTTGAAGTTTAAAGGTCATGAGCTCTGCAGCGGATAAGAAGCACTGCTGCAAAAAAAAGCAAAGCACAAAGGAGAGAAAAAGGAAGCTTTCTGAAAAAGTTGGTAATGGTGCCTGGCGAAGGGAGGCAGATATGAAGCAGGAAGTGACACTGTGTGAGTGAAAATAGTCAAACATTGACATTACTCCCTTTGGATTGAAAAGCCCCTTCTCAGAACACAGATGAGCAGGGTTAGATGACGAGATCATTTGACTGTGATAACAGAGTGAACCTTTGTCCAAGAATACAGTGAATCAGTACGACTCCAAGATAACCACCATGTTCCTGCTTCACTGCAGTGACGGCGTCTGTGTTTTGTATAGTGGCTGTGATGATAACAAGATGACAAGTGAGACGGGCAAAAGAGAGAGACAGACTCTGGACTAACAGAAAATAAAAGGCACGTGACTTACATGAGCACAGTGTCAGTTACATAAAGACAGAAGGGTCACTCGTTCACTGGACTGTATTTTTTTTACCACCAACCACGACTGTGTCACATGAAGAAGGGAGGAAAGTCACATAAAAAGAGGGAGTGGAAAAATGTAAAAGGCCAAAGGACGAAGGGAGATGGGAGACTGCTCTGGAAACTTTAAAAGTCAACAGCAATCTGAGCCAAAAGTCTCTTTTTGACAATTTGGGTAATTATTTAAAACATCAGTCTTGAAAATGTTCCTTTGTGTGATATTCTGTCTTACAAGAGGACATGGATTTCAGGTGATGTTTAGAGAAACCTACCATGAGAGGAAAAACTGCCAAGAGCAAAGTATAATGCAGTCACTGTGCCTTAAAGGGTGTACAAGGCTAAAAGTATTCTGTTCCCAGAGTGAATCCAACCTTACCAAAGCTAACCTTATGTACAGCCAAACACCTAGGTACTTAAGCAATCAGACCACTCTAAATGAAGCACTCTGCTTTATGTTTCTGGTAAGGAAATGTAAACAACATAAAATCATCCTCACCATTTAGCACTCCAAAGAGCATAGGTAAATTACTTTTAACAAACCCCACCTTGGTAAGATAAGCATTTTAACAAGCTTTAGCGTTTCAATTTTCATTAATTAAAACTGTGAGGTTGAATAATCAATGTACCAAATCATGTGTCTGTTGTTGTTTCCTTGTTGGATACATTTAGCCTTTCTTTGTTAAAGAGAGTTCTTTAGTAAACAATTCTAATACACTCACATCACTGCTGTAAATGAGTTAACATTGTAATTCATAGCACAGAAAAATATTATACAGACAATAGAATAACTATTTTGAATAAAGCTTGTATTCCCTCCTCAAGTTGCATTACTGCCGTCTACTGGATCAAGTGAGTATTGCTTACACATTTACTTCCTTAAAATAGAACCAATAGATTTAGATAATCGGGATATTTGCTACTATATTGATCTTGTGACATATACACGTTGACCGAGGGTATTCATTTCTTACCTTATGTATTTTCTAAACAGTACAGCTTCAAATGGCATTATAACAAAGAATCACAGGAAATAAAACTTATTTTTTCATTAATCTCTAGGGGAAATGTTGCCATTTAAATAGCGAACATACATCGAACGAGTCATTTATCAACTGCAGAGGACACAAACAACATTCACATTAACAATCAAATTGTACAAAAACATCTCTTCTCTCCTGAAACCCCTTGACCAGTTATGGTGTGGGCACATGAGCAGTTACAGTCCGGGTCATAATTCAGGTTAACGATCCTCTGTGTTTACACTTTAACAGTTTCCACTGTCACGCCGCACTGTTACATTAAGTAAACGCAGGCGTCAATGAAATGTGTTTATTTCGCACTAACGATAAATACATTTGAACAAATGTCACCAGTTAAGACTTCGGGCATTTAAGGACTTCCCCACTCCAGCGACTTGGCTAACGCTACCAACGGCGAACTTGTTAAACCTGAGCCGACAAAGACTTACCTTCAAATAAGCTAACAGGGCAATTAGCATTGCATTCAAACTCAACAACAACAACTCCAAACACTTACATCTTTTTGTTCTTGTTTGACACTGAACAGGTTGAGCCGCTGTAGCCTCGCTTTCATCCCATCCACCATGAACTTCACAAAAACTAGGTGTGAGCGGTTTCTTCACCGTAACTGTCTCCTGACACAGTTGGACGCTTCTGAATCATGTCATAGGAAAGTTGATTTTACTCCCTCAAGCCCAGGACCCCGCGGTTAGACGTCAAGTCTGTTGTCATTAAGCTTCAACACATCCTGTTCGAGCACCTCGAGGTACAACAAACCCTAATGTCTTAAAACCGCCGTCGCGCTTCCTTAGTTTTATTTTGAAAGGAAGAAAATTCACTTCTGCTTAACGCAGGAAATTTCTTGGTAACTTAACGAGGCATACTCCGCCAATGTGCTGGAAGGCTTGGGGAGGCAGTGTTCCTGTCCCGGGACAGTCAAACTTTGGGCGGCAGTTTTTGGGGTGTGGGCTTTTTTCATTGATTCGATAAATGTTGTAGATAATCTATGCTGGCGTGGCTCAGATAAACAGTATTTCCGGCCTGTGGGCAGAACAGCAAATTAAGCTGGAATGGAAGCCCATGGGAAGGAAACAGTGCTGTGATGGAAAAACACTAACGGGACCAATACTTTCCAACTGCCTCCCCCAGTGGACCTACAAATACCATAACTCTACATTTACAGACCAACATACATTTACATACAAACATATTATGTTGTACACAAACACATTAGAGTACACTTTACTTTGGTTCTTCAGCCTCTGGTGTAGTATTTACGTTATTACTGCTAGTATTACAATAATGAGTATGATTTGAAAAATAAGACAAATAGAAAAAAGCATAATTGAATTTCTAATGTTGGTATCATGTTTGCTGTTAGAAAATATTTTAGGGAAAGCGAAAAAATGTACCGGACTAAATATCTTGAAAATAATAATAATTTAAATTACGAGTAAAAACCTTGTCTGTCTTAACAAAGTCAAAAATAACAAAAATTCGTTACTTGAAATCAACGCAATGGTGACATCCAGTGGTGATGATTTAGATCA